CACAAACACAGACACACACACACACACATTCCCAAGTACACACACACAACCTTGCCAATGCAAGAGTAAAAGCTGTTGAGCGTTTAACGATGGCTATGTTTATGGCTTCATTATATTGATCAATAGCTGAGTGCATCAGACAATTCTGTTTTAATATTTGACAGTGTGTGTGTGTGTGGGAGGGTTTAGTTAGTGAGCACAGCAGAGTGTTGTCACAGTGTTGTCATCTAATAGCATTAAACACTGGTGGCCAGGCCAGACTGAGCTCTGAGATGTTGAGACATGCTTCTTCTCACTTGTGTGGATAATAGAAGTCTGGTACATACTGGCTGGTGTGTGTACAGTGACTTGCAAAAGTATTCACCCCCCCCTTGGCATTTCCCCTATATTGTTGCCTTACAACCTGGAATTAAAATAGATTTTGGGGGGGGGGGTTTGTATCATTTGGTTTACACAACATGCCTACCACTTTGAAGATGCAAAATATTTTTTATTGTGAAACAAACAAGAAATAAGACATAAAAACAGAAAACTTGAGCGTGCATAACTATTCACCCCCCCAAAGTCAATACTTTGTAGAGCCACCTTTTGCAGAAATTCCAGCTGCAAGTCTCTTGGGGTATGTCTCTATAAGCTTGGCACATCTAGCCACTGGGATTTTTGCCAATTTTTCAAGGCAAAACTGCTCCAGCTCCTTCAAGTTGGATGGGTTCCGCTGGTGTACAGCAATCTTTAAGTCATACCACAGATTCTCAATTGGATTGAGGTCTGGGCTTTGACTAAGCCATTCCAAGACATTTAAATATTTCCCCTTAAACCACTCGAGTGTTGCTTTAGCAGTATGCTTAGAGTTATTGTCCTGCTGGAAGGTGAACCTCCGTCCCAGTCTCAAATCTCTGGAAGAGTGAAACAGGTTTCCCTCAAGAATTTCCCTGTATTTAGTGCCATCCATCATTCTTCAATTCTGACCAGTTTCCCAGTCCCTGCCGATGAAAAACCATGCTTCACTGTGGGGATGGTGTTCTCGGGGTGATGAGAGGTGTTGGGTTTGCGCCAGACATAGCGTTTTCCTTGATGGCCAAAAAGCTCAATTTTAGTCTCATCTGACTGGAGTACCTTCTTCCATATGTTTGGGGAGTCTCCCACATGCCTTTTGGTGAACACCAAACGTGTTTGCTTATTTTTTTCTTTAAGCAATGACTTTTTTTCTGGCCACTCTTCTGTAAAGCCCAGCTCTGTGGAGTGTACGGCTTGAAGTGGTCCTATGGACAGATACTCCAATCTCCGCAGTGGAGCTTTGCAGCTTCTTCAGGGTTATCTTTGGTCTCTTTGTTGCCTCTATGATTAATGCCCTCCTTGCCTGGTCAGTGAGTTTTGGTGGGCGGCCCTCTCTTCCAGGTTTGTTGTGGTGCCATATTCTTTCCCTTTTTTAATAATGGATTTAATGGTGCTCCGTGGGATGTTCAAAGTTTCTGATATTTTTTTATAGCCCAAACTTCTCCACAACTTTGTCCCTGACCTGTTTGGAGAGCTCCTTGGTCTTCATGGTGCCTCTTGCTTGGTGGTGCCCCTTGCTTAGTGGTGTTGCAGACTCTGGGGCCTTTTAGAACAGGTGTATATATACTGAGATCATGTGACACTTAGATTGCACACAGTTGGAGTTTATTTACCTAATTATGTGACTTCTGAAGGTAATTGGTTGCACCAGATCTTATTTAGGCTCCCGAGTGGTTCAGCGGTTTAAGGCACTGCATCTCAGTGCTTGAGGCATCACTACAGACCCCCTGGTTCGATTCCAGGCTGTATCACAACCGGCCGTGATTGGGAGTCCCATAGGGTGGCACACAATTGGCCCAGCGTCGTCCGGGTTTGGCCGGGGTAGGTCATCATTGTAAATAAGAATTTGTTCTTAACTGACTTGCCTAGTTAAATAAAGATAAAAAGAAATACAATAAAGGGGCTTCATAGCAAAGGGGGTGAATACATATGCACGCACCACTTTTCCGTTATTTAGTTTTTACATTTTTTTGAAACAAGTTATTTTTTTCATTTCACTTCACCAATTTGGACTATTTTGTGTATGTCCATTACATGAAATCCAAATAAAAATCCATTTAAATTACAGGTTGTAATGCAACGGGGGATGAATACTTTTGCAAGGCACTGTTTTTATACAGTACCAGTCAAAGGTTTGGACACACCTACTCATTCAAGGGTTTTTCTTTATTTTTACATTGTAGAATAATAGTGAAGACATCAAAAATATGAAATAACACATATGGAATCCTAACATATGAGACCAGTTTTCCGTTATTTATTTTTTTGAATTTTTTGAAACAGGTTATTTTTTTCATTTCACTTCACCAATTTGGACTATTTTGTGTATGTCCATTACATGAAATCCAAATAAAAATCCATTTAAATTACAGGTTTTAATGCAACAAAATAGCAAAAATGCCAAGGGGGATGAATACTTTTGCAAGGCACTGTATAACTGTGTGTAGGCCTAGGTGTGTGTGTGTGTGTGTGTGTGTGTGTGTGTGTGCAGATGAGGCCTAAAGCTTGTGCATCAATTTGTCACTAAGTGGTGGAGAATATGAGTGATGGGGTCTCATACTGTGGGTTGGTCTTTCCTGTGTGATTCAGATTAGAAGACAAACACCCAATTAAGATGTGTCAATGACTCCTCACTGTCTCAGAGGGGAGAGAGAGATTCTAATCATTTTTTGTTGATGTTGTTTTGTGTCTTATCACTTTTGTTTATCATTTATTTCACTTGTTTCCCATGCCAATAAAGCCCCTTTGAATTGAGAAGAGAGCGAGAGAGAGAGAGGGGTAGAGAGAGAGAGAGGGGGGGGGGACAGAGTGAGAACTAAAACAGCCTACTGTAACACAACAGTAATTATTATCTTCATATAATATATGATCATAGCCTAATTTAGCCTCTGTAGAGCCCCACAGTGGAGGTGTCATAATACCCATAAACCCTAGCGGTCAAACAGGGAAATGGTTCCAATAGTTTTTCCACTATTCATTTTTTCCATAGGGAATTTTAGAAACACTTAAAATAAGAGCTGTGTTTCGTGTAGGCTTACCCTGGCGTGATGTTTTTATAATCATGTAAATCTCTGTCGGACAAGGTGACTTTTATCAATATATATTCGGCTCTATTTACTCTCAGATTCGAAAATGCTAATTAGAATCAACGTAGACATCATGCAAGACTACAAATCCCTGCAAACTCCTGCACGTCATCTCTAGCTGACACATTTGCTAACAGGTATTGTGTCAATTTAAATATTGCTCAAGACAATTCACAGAATTGTCAATTTAAAGAATGTTTCTAATTTATTCATTACACAATTTAGCTAACATTAAATAGTTAATCCAGAGATTCTTACCTTTGCCTCGATTCGGCAGTCTCGTCCAGATCATCATGGCATTTGTAGTTCTTTATGATAGCCACATTAGCAGCTAATTAGCCATACAATTTGTTTGGGTAAATACAGGCGACTATATTGATAAAAATCACCTTGTCCTAGAGAGATTCACACGGTTATCAAAATGTCCTGCCAGGGTAAGCCTACAAGAAACACAGCCCTTATTTTAAGTGTTTCTAAAATTCCCTATGGAAAAAATTAATGGTGGAGAAATTATTAGAACCATTTCCTTGTTTGACCGCTAGGTTTTATTGGTATTATGACCTATACTATGGTACTCTATACAGCCCTATCCTATTTAAAGCAAATTAGGCCTACATAGCCTAGGTAGGAAGCCTAGTGGTTAAGCACGTGTCGCCAGTAACTGAAGAGTTGCTGGTTTGAATCCCCGAACTGACTAGGTGAAAAATCTGTTGATGTGCCCTTGAGCAAGGCACTTAACCCCAGTGATCTGAAAGTCGTTTTTTGGGGTTATCTGTATATATTTTTGACTACTTTTACTTTTACTTCACTACATTCCTAAAGAAAATATTGTACTTTTACTCCATACATTTTCCCTGACAACCCAAAGTACTTGTTACATTTTGAATGCTTAGCAGGAAAGGAAAATTGTGAAATTCATGCACTTATCAAGAGAACACGTGGTCATCCCTACTGCCTATGGTCTGGCAGACTCACTAAACACAAATGCATCTTTTGTAAATAATGTGTTGGAGTGTGCCCCTGGCTATCCGTACATTTTCTAAACAAGAAAATGGTGCCGTCTGCTTTGCTTAATATAAGGAATTTGAAATGATTTATACTTTGACTTTTGATACTTAAGTATATTTGAGCAATTACATTTACTTTTGCTCCTTAAGTATATTTAAAACCAAATACTTTTAGACTTTTACTCAAGTAGTATTTTACTGGGTGACTTTCACTTTTACATGAGTAACTTTCTATTAAGGTATCTATACTTTTACTCAAGTATGACAATTGGGTACTTTTTCCACCACTGCTTAATCCTAATTGCTCTGGATAAGAGTGTCTGCTAAATGACTAAAAAGTTATGAACACTACTTCAATATTTTTTTAAAGGTTAATTGGAGGAACAGCACTGCAGTATCCTTTACACACACCTTTAAAAAAACATAAAAAAATGCAATTCATTTTCCAATAAAACACTGATCTTTCACTGATTAAATATTTCAAGATTTCAGCTACAAGTGAAGAACAGTGAAATTTGTGTTGTGTTCACAGCTGAAAGCCAATTGAATGTGATATGCCTTAACAAGGAACATCCCAAAGTGATTACCTACACTTGCTAAATGTGCCTTTCCAATTCGCTCCTCTCCTCCAGAGAGGAAGAGGCGAAGCGAGAGGATTTACTCCACGTGAGATAAGCTCTTTGTATGGAGATCTATGAGATAGTGTCAAGTTACGTGAGACTAATTTGATCAATTTAGTTTTGCCTGTTGTTCACACGCGTATCTGCCCTCTCATTGGATAGAATGGTCCCACCTGACCTCACTTGCCTTCGCTCATTGAGGACATGTATTTCAATTGTTAGATCGGTCACTCGGCTATCTTGCCAATATAATAGATCATCTTAGTCTCCGCTCATCTCTGGATATAAAAAGACCAGTGAGTCACGTGAGATACTGTAGTGGGTCATATGATCGAAGGGAACGCACAAGAGTGCAGAGGACACTACACAAACCGAAACCAGTCCAGCAGGTGCTTCGAAGTACGGGGAAATATAGCCTACCTTTTTCTACTTGGGCCGATACTTAGGCTATTGCTCCTGGTCACTATAGTTATTATCGTAGACTCAAATCTCTGCGTAGTTCTGTAAACAGAAGCGTGGTGTGACGCGATGAAGGTGAGCGGTGTGTTGCTGTGTGTGTTGCTGCTCTGGGCGGAGGGCTCCCGGGCTGATACCCCGGCCAACTGCACCTATGAAGATCTGTTGGGCTCCTGGGTGTTCCAGGTATCGACGGGAGGGAAAGACAAAGGCATTAACTGCTCTCTGATGGGTAAGAAATGGAGTGACACTAGCAGCGCGCAAACTTCTTGTTCCTAGAAACACGGAAGAACGAACCTACGTTTTAAGCAATCAAGCCGGCTATGTAACTTAATTGATTTTGATTGTTAACTTGACACAGTATCCAATTGCGTTTGTTTGTAGCCTATTGACTGCCTTTATTACTATCATTGATACAATGTTTGTTACAACTTATCCCGCTGCCCAATGTTACATCTCTATCCTGTTACTTTGCGATACAGAAGAACCCCAAAGTTGAATTGAGAATGAATTACCAAAATGTCTACTGTTTGTGTTTTAAAAAGACACCGTTGATAAGTCGATAACGGTGCACCTGGAGAAGCTGTCTGTGGCGGTGGACGACCTGGGAAACACGGGCTTCTTCACCCTTATCTACAATCAGGGCTTCGAGGTGGTCCTCAACGACTACAAGTGGTTCGGCTTCTTCAAGGTAGTTTTAAGCTCTCGCTTATTCAAGCGTTTCATTCAGGGCTAAAGTTTATCCTATAATGATAACAAACTATGATCTGTCGAAGTCTAGAACCTTTTTGGCAGACATGGAAATGCACTTGCCTTGCACACTAAGTTTCAGGCTCGTCAGACGCATGGCTGGTAACCTTCCCTGTAGTTGCTGGGTGACGCTGTTAAAGACAGATTACATCTCAATTACTACGTTATTGATACATTCAGGCTTGTGATTCAAAATTGCTTTCAGGGCTGTGTTGCAGCCTTTTTCATTCAGGGTTCTTTTGTTTTGCATTCAGCCCATTTTTTTTCTTTTTCACATGACTGCCCGGTGATTGTATCAGGGGAAATGTTCAGTGTTCTCCCTCCTACATGATAGAGGTGACTTGCAGACATCAATTATACTTCCTTTATTGAAACCGTCTGGACTTGTCTTGGCACACAGTGACTCAATGTCACACCACACATGCTTTACTCTAAAAGCCCATTAGGTACTTGTTGCTGTTCATAAAGCCAAACACTCTGCTCACTCTTATTGAAAGCCTTTATCAGGTTAATGGCCACATCTGACTTGTTGCACTTCTGCTTTTAAATAAGTGATATTTATTTTAATATGCAACTCTGGCCGTAAAGATGAGGAAATACAATATTTAATGTGATGTAATGTCTCCACACAACACACGGACGTGCACAAGCAGTGACTGAGTTTCTCCTCTGTTCCAGTACTCTGAGCAGGGCTCTGAGGTGACCAGCTACTGTGACCAGACTCTGCCAGGCTGGGTCCATGATGCTCTGGGGAACAACTGGGCCTGCTTCACTGCCAAGAGGGTCGTCCCATTACCCCCTCGCTCCGTACACACACACCACTACCCCCACAAGGACCTGTGAGTATCCTCATGGGTTTTATAGATGTTTTGAGACACTGTGAACAAGAATAATCATGGTCCCATTTTTACTGTTGCTCATATTGAAAAGCAAGCAGTCTGCTTGGCCTTTACTCTTTCTCTTTACATTGGCTGTGTTTACTCACCCCCTCGGGCTGTGTTTACTCACCCCCTCGGGCTGTGTTTACTCACCCCCTCGGGCTGTGTTTACTCACCCCCTCGGGCTGTGTTTACTCACCCCCTCGGGCTGTGTTTACTCACCCCCTCGGGCTGTGTTTACTCACCCCCTCGGGCTGTGTTTACTCACCCCCTCGGGCTGTGTTTACTCACCCCCTCGGGCTGTGTTTACTCACCCCCTCGGGCTGTGTTTACTCACCCCCTCGGGCGTGTTTACTCACCCCCCTCGGCTGTGTTTACTCACCCCCTCGGGTGTGTTTTACTCACCCCCTCGGGCTGTGTTTACTCACCCCTCGGGCTGTGTTTACTCACCCCCTTCGGGCTGTGTTTACTCACCCCCTGGGCTGTGTTTACTCACCCCCTCGGGCTGTGTTTACTCACACCCCTCGGGCTGTGTTTACTCACCCCCTCGGGCTGTGTTTACTCACCCCCTCGGGCTGTGTTTTACTCACCCCCTCGGGCTGTGTTTACTCACCCCCCTCGGGCTGTGTTTACTCACCCCCTCGGCTGTGTTTACTCACCCCCCTCGGGCTGTGTTTACTCACCCCCTCGGGCTTGTGGTTTACTCACCCCCTCGGGCTGTGGTTTACTCACCCCCCGGGCTGTGGTTACTCACCCCCTCGGGCTGTGGTTTTACTCACCCCCTCGGGCTGTGTTTTACTCACCCCCTCGGGCTGTGTTTTACTCACCCCCTCGGGCTGTGTTTTACTCACCCCCTCGGGCTGTGTTTTACTCACCCCCTCGGGCTGTGTTTTACTCACCCCCTCGGGCTGTGTTTTACTCACCCCCTCGGGCTGTGTTTTACTCACCCCCTCGGGCTGTGTTTTACTCACCAGACTGCTCCATAGGTCCTACAAACACAACCTGGACTTCATTGACTCCATCAACGCGGCCCAGAGCTCCTGGAAAGCCACATCCTACAGCGAACATGAGACCTACACTCTGCAGCAGCTAATGCACAGGTCTGGGGGACCAGCCTCACACATCCCCAGGTACAGTCACTAACTTGTGAAACTATGACTTGTTGACACATGAATTCCATAGTCATTGTGGGGGACTTCCCACTACAGCCCCAAGGAAGAAGCAGGAGAAAATGAGTCATTCAGCTGTGAGATGTGACTTCTGAAAGAAAAGGGAGAGAAGTCATGACTGAGTCCGAGGGTAAAGGTTTGAGGGAGGAAGGCTAGTGCACACTTCAGGAGAGTATGGAATAAAATCACGTCAGTTGTGTTCAGTAGGTATGAAATAGGACTTTACAACAGAGGTACTACCTAAACGTGTCCAATAGGAACTCATTTTAGATTCATTGCAAAAAGTAAATCATGGAGGCCCTGGTTCTCTATGCTCCTCCCCAGACGTGTTGGCCCCGCCCCTGTGACGGCAACGCTAGTCAAGATGGCATCCGGCCTACCTGAGCGCTGGGACTGGCGAGATGTCAACGGCGTCAACTACCTCAGTCCTGTCCGCAACCAGGGTAACGCACACCGGGTCAAATACCTACTCTTTTTATCATGACTCTTGGCAGTGTGTCCTCTCCCAACCCCTGTGTATAATGTTCAGCCTGTCTGCTGTGGCTGAGTGGACTTTGGAGTTCTCTACACAGCATGCAGTACCATTGGCACTCCTGTTAAAGAATGTAGACTGCTAAATCAAAGGCCACAGTCCCTCTGGATTATAGAGTAGCAATGTTCCCATCTCAACCCCGCATGCTCATATCTAGAGATCAAGCATAGTGAGTGGTTGGATAGCTGGCTGAGAGGGCCACTGCAGGGCTGGGATTTAGGCGCTCTGTTGAAGAGGGGATTTAATAAGAGGCCTACTGCTGTGTGTATGGGAGAGAAAGTGAGGCCTTCTGCCCTGCCTTAGGGTTCATAACCAAAAAAACGATGGTTGCTGCCTGGGGCTAAAATAGGTTGACGATGATGCACTGACTGGGTGTCTGATTCTTACAGTGGTGGTTTTATAGCAGTGACGTTTTAGCTTGGTTGTGACAGTGCAGGGTTTGACTGGTACTCTGTCGGCTCCAGCTTCGTGTGGTAGCTGCTATTCCTTTTCCTCGATGGGAATGTTGGAAGCTCGCGTCAGGATCCAAACCAACAACACTGAGACTCCCATCTTCAGTCCACAGCAGGTTGTCTCCTGCTCCCAGTACTCCCAAGGTAATGCGTGCACACTGCATAATTGTATCTAAACTATGTGAGTATTTCTCCCATATCTCTAACCCTCTCACTGCTCTTCCTCCCCTCTCAGGTTGTGACGGTGGTTTCCCCTACCTCATTGGGAAATACATCCAGGACTTTGGGGTTGTGGAAGAGTCATGTTATCCGTACGTTGGGAAGGATTCCTCTTGTGATGTTCCCGATGGCTGTCGCCGCCACTACGCCTCAGACTACAGCTACGTGGGAGGGTTCTATGGAGGTTGCAGTGAGTCTGCCATGATGCTGGAACTGGTCAAGAACGGACCCATAGGGGTGGCCTTTGAGGTGGGACACACACACGTTGGCTAGTTTGTCTATTGGATAGCTCTATGTAATGGCCAGTATTAGTTTGCCAAGTATTATTCCTCACTGTTTTCCTCCAGGTGTACCCTGACTTCATGCACTATAAGGAGGGTATCTACCACCACACGGGCCTCCATGACCCCTACAACCCATTTGAGCTGACCAACCATGCGGTGCTGCTGGTGGGCTATGGCCACTGTCACATGACCGGTCAGAAGTTCTGGGTGGTGAAGAACAGCTGGGGGACGGAATGGGGCGAGGGGGGCTTCTTCAGGATCCGCCGGGGATCAGACGAGTGTGCCATCGAGAGCATCGCGGTGGCAGCCAAGCCCATCCCCAAACTGTAACGGGTTAGAGGGCGAGGGGCAATCTTTCGTCTTCCCAATTGGAACCTAGCCTGATACTTTGGGCCAAAGTCTGAAATGGTTTCTGTATTGAAATGGAGTTATTGTGTAGCTGAGAAGCTTAATCAAATGGCTGGAACATTTTTATATAAATAATCAGTAACTGTGTAAAGCTTTGCTAATTGCTCACTAGACTGTCTGATCCTTGCCATGCCAACCAAAGATTCATTCTTGGGGATGATGCCTAAAGGGAACCTGCTTTAATCCCTAATGTAACTGGGATTTGTAGATTTTTAATTAGTTCTGTAGTTAGTCTGGTGATTGATAGGAGGGCAGAGGACCTCTGCACTTTCTGTAATGTCTCCCCTGTGCTTCCCTATCTTGCCCTGTATTCTCCATATGTCCTCTGCTATGTCACTACTAGTCCTCACATCACTCATCTGTCCTCTCATATCGCTGTGTGATGTAAGTCTCCTGGGAACATTCAAAGGGATTGCTGTCTCATCAGTGTAGAAAGGGATCCAATATGTCAGTGCCTTGACTTCTCTCTCCCTTCAGAAGTGGTTGCTTTTCATTACTGTCCTGTAGTTTTCCATTATGATCACATGCATGCAAAGATTTGCACTGGTTTTGTCTTTTGAAAGAAAATGAATAAAGTTGCTTTTTACAATTATTAGTGGTGTTTACTACTTTTCTGACATGGATAGGGTTTCAGCTATATGCACAGAGATCTTATATTATTGATCGAACAATGCATGTCTTGCAAATCACTTTTCTGGAGTTGTACAACTAACTCCGATATTTGGAGGGGGCAAACTGAAGGAGAGGCTTCAGTCTTCAGATGGGTGCAGTCTCTCACGCCTCTGACCACGCTCTGAGCCCCGCAAGTCACAAGGTCCCGATATTCACTTTTCTGCCCCACTTCTCTGGGCGTTCCTTCCGGATCGCTAGAGCACACCGCTCCTCATTCTCGTGCCCGATCTTCTCCCTCTCTCCCATCACGGCGTATTAATGCTCTACCCTAGCGCTCCGCGGTCGCCATGCAGAACTACAAGGAGCACCTCTATAAGATCCTGGTAATAGGGGACCTGGGGGTGGGGAAGACTAGCATCATCAAGCGCTATGTCCACCAGAACTTCAGCCCCAACTACCGGGCCACGATAGGAGTGGACTTCGCCCTAAAGGTCCTTAACTGGGACCAAGAGACGGTTCGGCTACAGTTATGGGATATAGCAGGTAGGAGACGCATTACGCGTGACACTGATCAAATGGGAACACTGGCAGGCCCATTTTGGTGTTGTGCTATTTGGCCACTTGAATAAATTACATGTCATTAATGTAAGCGTTGAGGGATTGTCAATTAAGTTCCAGCGTAAGACACGGGATGGCGAGACTGGGGAGGGAACTGTAGTGGTATCAGGTCGGTGGTTCCGTTCACTACAGATATTAGGTTCTGGGGAGTGGTCATTGGACAAGAAAGTGTAACAAAAGGATTGGACTTAATTGTGTACTGACGCCCACATACAGTATCAGACAAAATGTGTTATCAGATGTTTCATAGGACAACGGTTCTGTTCGTGTGTAAACGTTGGGAACCGTGGGCAGTTAAGGCCTATACGCATAAGGTGTTCCTCGAACCTCAAGTGAGTGTCGGTTATTGGATAAATTTCTCTAACGCAGTGAGCGCTCTCCTCCAGTCCCATGCGCTCTGGCCGGTACAGCCGGGGCGCACGCCCGCATGTACAGTCATGTGTCTAGCACTCATGTGAGGGAGATTTGGGGCTCAGAATGGGCTTATTGTGAATGAGAGCCGACAGGCTTCTTCTGGGATCGGGAATGCCGTCTCCACCTTCTGACGTGCAGCCTACTGTATTCAGAATATATTAATGCGTTGCTTCATTGAGCTCAATTTAGAGGGATATTGTGAACTATGTTTTCTCATATCCATTTAAATGGTTGTACTCCTCATGAGACATCATTGCAACATCCCAGTGTTAAGTGTGGCCTCTGCTAAGAGGTCCTAACCTTTATGGCACACGGGTTTTGACTTTACCCTGCCACTACATGATCAGAACCATTCAAAGCTTTGGAGTGAAACAGGTCTAGCAGCTTTCTGTGCAGCAACAAAAAAGTTGAGTCAGGAGAACTCATGTAAAGTATGTTGAAGTGGTCAACTTAAATTGAGCTCCATATCAAAATAGGAGTGTGTCATGTGGATGGTTGCTCAGCTTAGCTGATACTGATAACTCGGACGAGTTTCTGCCTGGCCTGAACTAGCCTTGCTCCATTAATCATGCCCTGGTAGAATGTCACACCTAGGCCCGATCCCAAATGTACCTCTAGTCTAGATCCTACGTCCTATGCACTTGTGGAGATCTGAGAGTATTTGACAGGTTGAAGCTGCAGCATACTGCTTGTACTAATCAATCATGCATAGGCAGTGGTGGAAAAATGACCCAATTGTCTTACTTGAGTAAAAGTAAAGATACTTTAATAGAAAATGACTCAAGTGAAAGTAACCCAGTAAAACTATTTTGTTTTTAAACATATACTTAAAAAAGATACTTAAGTAGTAATTTCAAATTCCTTATATTAAGCAACCCAGACGGTACGCAATTTGTTTTTTACGGATATCCAGAGGCACACTCACAACACAAATAATTTACAAACAAATCATTTGTGTTTAGAGAGCGCAAGATCAGAGGGGGTAGGGATGACCAGGGATGTTCTCTTGATAAGTATTTGAATTGGACCATTTTCCTGACCTGCTAAGCATTCAAAATGTAACGAGTACTTTTGGGTGTCAGGGAAAATGTATGGAGTAAAAAGTACATTATTTTCTTTAGGAATGTACTAAAGCAGAAGTTTATTTTCATTAGTCCATTTTTGATATAGTCTCAAAATGTTTTGCATGTCAGTGATCGCATTTCAAGACATGTAACGTTCAAAATACAGAAATCTGGCCCCTATCATGTGATCGCTGACATGCAAAATGCATCATATGGGCCAGATTTCTGTATTTTGAAAGTTACATATCTTGAAAACTTGATTGCTGACATGCAAAACATTCTGGGACTATATCAACAATGGACTAATGAAACAAATACCAAAAGATAGTGTTTTGGGTGGAGTTTTCCTTTAAGTAGTACTTTAATGTATTTTTTATGAAGTACTTTACACCACTGGGTCTAGGCCCTATCAAAAACTATGGCTGTGTCCAGTAATGTCTGAACACACTGGTAAACCACTGATAGTCACTATAGAAGTGAGTGATAACGTCTGAACACACTGGTAAACAGCTTTGATAGTCACTATAGAAGTGAGTGATAACGTCTGAACACACTGGTAAACAGCTTTGATAGTCACTATAGAAGTGAGTGATAACGTCTGAACACACTGGTAAACAGCTTTGATAGTCACTATAGAAGTGAGTGATAACGTCTGAACACACTGGTAAACAGCTTTGATGGTGACCATAGAAGTCAGTGATGGGAGTCAGAGTAGCACATTCCACGTGTACTTATTACACTGTTGTTAGCAGAGGAATTTACACTGACCTCTCTCCCTCTCTCTCTCTCTCTCATTCTCTGGTGGTCTCTCTCTCTCTCTCTCCTCTCTCTCTCTCTCTCTCTCTCTCTCTCTCTCCTCTGGTGGTCTCCCTCTCTCTCTCTCTCTGGTGGTCTCCTCTCTCTCTCTCTCTCTCTGGTGGTCTCCCTCTCTCTCTCTCTCTGGTGGTCTCCCTCTTTCTCTCTCCCCATTTTTTCTTTACCCCTCTCTCTCTGTCCTCCCTCTTTCTCTCTTCCCCCTCTCTCTCTCTTTCCCTCCCTCTCCCTTTCTGTCCCTCCCCTCTATAATGATAGTTGTCTGTGTGTGAAATCCCTCATCAGTCAGACTCATTTGTCTGTAATGGGAGTTGTGCTGTCTTTGGAAAGCCCATTACTACATTTGATCTGTGTGTGGCGTGTGATGTACCATGTCTGTCCACCTTGTCGTATTTTTCCGGGATTGGTTTATGAATGTGACCCTCCACGACTGTGACCAGGACTGTGTAGTGGACTCTTTGCCCTGAGGCAGTCTCAAGTAACCTTAATCTCAGTGGTGTTACCAGGGCTTGTGATATGGTATTAGAGTCAGGGGTGTGGCAACAAGACACTTTACTCCTGCTACTGCTATCAGTTACAGCTAACAATACTGTGTGTGTGTTTCAGGTCAGGAGCGGTTTGGGAACATGACGAGGGTGTACTACCGTGAGGCCATGGGGGCATTCATCGTGTTTGATGTGACGCGGCCTTCCTCCTTCGAAGCTGTCGCCAAGTGGAAGGAGGACCTGGACTCTAAACTCACGCTGGCCAATGGGAAAAATGTGGCCGCTGTGCTATTGGCTAATAAGTGTGACCAGGGGCGGGACGTGCTGACCAACAACGGGATCCAGATGGAGAAGTTCTGTCAGGAGAACGGCTTTGTGGGATGGTACGAGACTTCTGCCAAGGTGAGAACACGCATGCATTGCATGCGAGCGCACACACACACAAATAAGTACTTTAATGAGAACGTCTTATCACACCTCCATACACATTATTAACACAATGACACACACACACAGGCAGACTATGGAGTCATAGCACCTTGTACAGCTGTGGAATTTCACAGATAAATGAAAAGTGAGCACAGTCAGTTGGATCAAAGGCAGACGCACGCACACACACAACTCTCCTGTCCCGACACCCCGTATGCTAGTGGAGCTCAACATTCTGAGAGTCAGAAGAAGGTGAAAGGTCGTTACCATGGTTTACCAGATTTATGAGCTGCATTTCATTCCGAAAAGCTGTCCCTTTCTCCCTTTGTTCACTCCAGAAGTTAGTTCACCGTATACTTTCACCTATCCAGTCAGATTGATGAATGGGAGAGGGAGAAGCCAGAAGTAAGGGCACAACTCTTTGGAATGGAATGCAGCCTTCAGTCTCTAAACTCAAAGACAAGAGAGTGACGTAGAGAGTGAATTAGAAAGATGAAGAGAGTGAATTAGAGAGTAGAAAGTGATAAGTAGATACAGAGTGATGTTTAAAATCAAATTTAAAGGGAAAGGTTTATATAGAAGGTTTAGAGGGTTTTCTGAGAGGTGGATGGGGGATTTCCCAGGGGTAGAGTGTTTGTGGTTTCGCGGGTGCGCGTGTGTATTTGGTTTTAGAGCGGGTAGATTTTGCTCGTGGGGTCGGGGGTGTCGGCGTGTTGTGGGGGGTTTTCGCCTTTTTTAGGGTCTCGTCCTTTTCCCCGGTGTGGCGTGTGTGCGTTGCGCGGTGTTTGCGTGTTTCCTGGCCCCTTTTGCGCGGTGTTCCCCTGCCCCATTTGGGGTCGGGGTGTGTGGTGTTGGGTGTGGTGTGTGTGTGGGGGGGTTGGTTTGTGTGTTGGGGGTTCCCGGGGGCTGTGGTGTCGGGGTTTTGGTTTTGTTGTGTGGGGTGTGGTTTGTTGGAAACCCGGGTTTGGGGGGATATGTGCGGGTGGGGAGCGTTAATTGGGGTTTGGTGTGATAGTTAGGGAGAGGGGTGGTGTATAGTGATGTCGGAGGTGTTTGAGGGTTTGTGATGTAAAAAGGGGTTTAAAAGTGTGGGGATGTAAGAGGTTTTAAAATTTATGTGTTAGAGGGTGATTTGGGTGTAGAAGGGGTGGTTTTGATAGTGTGTAGAGAGGTTTTAAAGGGGTGATATGAGGGAAGAGTTTAATGTGTGTTTGTGGAAAGGGGTAAAGTGTGTGTTTAGTGAAGGGGGAAAAGTGTGATATTGTGGGGGGGGGGGGGGGGTTTAAGTGTGATAGTGGGGGTTTGAGAGGGGTCGAGTGGTGGGGTGTTTGCGGTTCGGTTTGATGTTTGGGTCCCGGTGTCGCGTGTGCTCGTGTGTCGCGGTGTGCTTTTTCTGTGCTGTCGGGGTGGCGTGTCTCTGCTGTCCGCGGTCGCGTTTGCTTGCCTTTTGCCGCGGTTTTGCTGTGCTCGTGCTCTGCGCGGGGTCCTTTTGCTCGTGCTTCGCCCCGGTTCGCGGGGGCTCCCCGTTTTCCGTGTGCTCGTGGTGTCCGGGTGTCCGTGTGCTGTGCTGTGCCCCGGTGTCGCTTTTGGGGTCGTGGGTTCGCGCGGTCTCGGGGGCTCGTGCTGTCGCGCGGTGTGCGTTGGGGCTCGTGGTGTCGCCCCGTTCGCTGTGCTCGTGCTGTTCCCGGGGGCTCGTGCCTGTGGCGGGGTAAGGGGTTTTCGTGTGTTGGCGGTGGGGGGTGGTGTGGTTTTGGGGGTGTGGGGTGCTGTGGTGTGGGGTGGTCGTGTTCCCTGTCGCTTTTGCTCGTGCTGTCGCGCGGGGTCGCTGTGTCTGGTGTCGCGCGGTTCGCGTTTTCTGTGCTTCGCGGGTGCGCGGGGGCCGTTCTGTCGGGGTTGGCGTTTCGTTTTGGGGGTTGGTGTGTCGTGTGTCGGGTGGGGGCCCGGGTTTGCCCTGGCGGGGTGGTGTGTCGTGTGTGAAGGGGGTTTGGGGGGTCGTTTCTGTAAAATGGGGTGGCGTGTGTTCTTGGGGGGTGGTTTGTAGTGTTTCGAGAGGTTTTAAGCGTGATAGTTTAATAGAGAGGGGTGAGGTTATAGTGGTGTAGGAGGGGTCGAGCGGATAGTTTTGGGGGAGGGGTGTAGAGTGTGATAGTTGGGTGTAAGGGTGTTGAGCCTGTAGTTTATGAGAGGTGTAAGGGGGTAGTGATGTAGAGAGGGGTTAGGTGGGGGGTGAGTGGGGTGTGTGTGATGTAGGGGTTTTGGTGTGGTAGTGGGGGTTTTGAAACAAATATGGTGAAGGGTGATGTGGTGTGCGTGTGAAGGGGGATTTTTAGAGAGGGGGAGAGGGTGTAGTGGTGTAAGAGGTTTTAGATGTGATAGGGTGTAAAAGGGGGATAGTTGTAAGGTTAGGCGTTATAGTGGTTTTAAGAGGTTAACGTGATGTTTTGGAGTGTGAGGGGAATTTGTGATGTGTGGGGTGTAAAAGGGGATAATTGATTGGAGGTTTTTAAATGTGGGTAGTGTTCCAAGGTTGTTGTGTAGAGAGGGGTGAGTTTGTTGGGGTGGGGTGATGGGTTTTGGGGTTGGTGTGTGTGGTGTAACCCTGTGTGTGTGGGGTGTGTGTTTTGGGTTGGGGTGTGTGTTGGGGTGTGTGTGTGTTGGGTGTAGGTGGGGTGTGTGTGGGGGGTCCCCGTGTCCCCGTGCTGTCCGGGTCTCTTTCTTTCGCGCGGGGTCGGGGGCTGTGCTGTCGCGCGGTGTGCTCTTTCTTCGCCCCCGGTTTCCGGTGGCTCCCTGCCCCGTCGCGGGTGTCGCTGGGGCTCGTGCTGTCGCGCCCGGGGTTTTTTGGGGTTTCTCCCTTGGGGGGGCGGGGTCGCCCCCGGGTGTTGGGGTCCCCGGGGGCTCGTGCGTTTGCGCGGGTCGCGTGTGTTTGTTGTGGGAGTGTGCCCCGTGTCGTTCTTGGGGTGGGTGTGCTCGGGTGTCGGGGTGTGCCCCGGTTGTGTTCCCCGGGGTTTGGCGTGTGTGGTGTGGGGTGTCGTTTGTAAGGGGCTCGTGGTGTTCCCCGGTGGGGGCGTGTGCTATGTGGGGTGTGCGCGTTGTTTTTGAGGGTGGGGCCTTTGGATGTGTGTAGGGCTTGGTGTGATTGTTGGGGTTGGTGGGGTAGTGTTGGAGGGTGGGTGTGTTCTTTTGGGGGTGTGGGTTTGTGGTTTGGGTGTGGCGGTGTGGGGTGGGGTGTGGTGGAATGTGTTACGGGTTTTGGGTTATTGGTGTAAAGGGGGTGTTGTGTTGGGTTTGAAACGTGATTTTTATGGGGTTTTGAAATTTTGTGTGTTAGAGGGTTTTAAAGGGTTATGTGATTTTAGAGAGGTGGGGAAACGTTATAGTGGTGTTTGGGTGTAAAAACTGATGTTTTAGGGGTGTGGTTTTTTAGTGGGTGTAGGAGGGTTTTAAAAATGATGTGATTGAGGGTGTGGTGTTTATGTGATGTGGGGTGTGGTTGTGTGTGGGGGGTGGGGGTGGTTTTGTGGTAAGGTTTTTGGGTGTATGGTGTGGGGTGTGTGCTGTGGGGTGTGGTGTTGTGGGTTTAGAGCGTTTATAGTGATGTAGAGGTTTGGGGGTGAAGGAAAGTAAAAGGGGGTAAATGTGATGTGATTTGAGGGTGTGAGGGGTGGAAATGGTTTAGAAACCCTGCTAGTGAATGAGAGGGTTTTAGAAACTTTATGTGATTAAAGGTTTTAATTTTGATGTGGGGGTGGGGGGTGATTGTTTTAAAAGGTGTAACCCTTATAGTGATGTTTAAAAAGGTGTGGTTTTGGTAGTGGTTTTGGGGTTATAGTGATGGGGTTTTAGGGCGTGTGGGTGTAGGAGGGGGGGGGTTTATGTAAAGTGAGGGGGTGTAGGTTGAAAAGTGGTGTAAGGGTGATGTGGGTGTAGAGAGGTTTTGGCGTGTAGTGGTTTAGAGCGTGATTGGGGTGGAGGTGTTTAAGGGGGATTGTGTCGAGGGGGTGGTGTGGTTGGTTGAGGGGGACGTGTGTGGGGTGTAGGGTGTGTGGTGTAGGATTGTGGGGTGTGTGTGTGGGGTGTAAAGGGGGGGTGTGTGTCCGGGGTGTGGTTTGTGTGGGGTTGGGGAAAGGGGTTGGGGGGGTCTTGGGTTTGGGGTTGGTGTGTGTGTTGGGGTTGGGGTTTTGTGGTGTGGGGGTTTTGGGGGTGTGTGGTGTCCCCGGGGTGTAATTGGGGTTTTTGTGTGGTTAGAGCGGTTTTAGGGTGATGTGGTGAAAAAAGGGGGGTATGGGAAGTGGTGTGAAGGGGGAAGTGTGCCCCGGGTGTAAAAGGGTGATAGTGGTTTAGGGGTGTAGGGGCGGTGTTAGTGGTTTTAGGGGTTTGGTGTGATTGTTTGGGGTGGTGTGTTTTGTTGTGTGATTTTGGTGTGATGTGGGTGAGGTTGATGTGATGTGAGAGGTGTAGTGTGATAGTGGTGGTAGATTGGGTGATAGTATTTTAGAGAGGTGTGAAAGGGGAAGTGGTGTAAAGGAAAGGGGATAATGATGTAGAGGAGGTTGGGAAAAGGGGATGTGGGGGTAGAGGGTTATAGTGGTGTAAGAGGGTTTTGGCCCGGGTAGTGGTGGGGGAGGTGGTGATGGTGTGAATGTAACGGGGGATAGTGTGTAAGGTTTAGGGAGTTGGTGTGGGGGTTAAAGGGGGATATTTGTAGAGAGGGGTTTAGTGGTTTGTGGTGTGGGGTGTTGTGTGTCGTTGTCGCGGGTTTCCGGGGTCCGTTGTGGCGGGGTAGCGGGTTTTCTAGGGTTCGCCCCGGGGTGGGGTGTCCTGGTGGGCCCGGTGTCCGGGGGCCGTGGTTTTCGCGCGGGGGTCGCGTGTTTTCTGTGGTGCGCGGGCCCGGGCTCGTGGGTCGGGGTTTCGCGTGTGCTGTGGTGTCGCGCGGGGGCTGTTCCGTGAGCGGGGGCGTGTGCTCCCCCTGCTTCGCGGGGGTGTCCCCGTGGGGCTGTGCTGTCGCGCGGGGTCTTGGGGGTCGTGCTGTCCCCGGGTCGCTTTTTGCTCGGGGGCGTCCGGGGGTTTCGCGGTGCTCGTGGTGTCCCCGGGGGTGCGGGGGCTTGTTTTTGTCGCGCGGTGTCGCCGGGGGTCGTGTTTTGCCCGGTGTCCGGTGCTTTTGTCGCGGGTGTCGCGGGTGCTCCGTTTCGCGGGGTGTGGGTGGGGGGTGGGGTGTGGGGTGTGGGGTGTGGGGGGTTTGGGGTGTTGTGGGGTGGCGTGGGTGTGTTGGGTGTGTTTGTGTGGTTTTTGGGGTTTGGTTGTGTGGGGAGGGGTGTTGTGGTTGTGGTGTGGGGTGTGGTGTGTGTGGTGGGGGGTGTGCGTGTGTCGTGGGTTTTCGCCG